TCAGGACAGTCTCCCTTTTGACTAACTCAAAACCACCGGCTCGAGGCCCTTCATTACGTCCGGAAAACCCGCTCGCCAAGTTCGTGTCTGACCCGCTCTCATTACTGCCCAACTGACTCTCACCCAGCACTTGCCCGGCTTCTCCTCCGGACCCCCTTTCTGCACACAGGCCAGGCGCCCGGGGCCCATCCCCCCTGTCCCCGGACCCAGTGTCTCCCAGCTCCGCTCCCTGGCCAGCCCCGGTCACGTCCACACCCGTGGGATCAGAGCCGGAGCGCAGCCTCCCCGCCAGGCCCCGCCAGGCCCCCCCATCCCACCTCAGGTCGACTCCTGGCAAGGGCTCTGGGCGCTGGTGTGCTCGGTGCCCCCCTCCCCCCCCCCCCCCCCAGTTCCTGTGCCTGTATTTCTGCCTGGAAGGTGGTTTTCGGCTCTTCCCTCTGAGTCTGCTCTCTTCCTTTGGAGCATTGTCATTTAGCCAGTATCTTTTTGAGAGGCTTCTGCGTGCACCGGGGCGGCACAGAGAGAAGGCGCTTTCTAGGGCCTCAGGAAGCTTGCAGGCTGGAGGAAGGGACTGGGAGGCACAGGGCAGGGCGAGAGCTGAGCCAGAGGCCGAGGCACATGGCAGGGCACAGGGGGATAACGGAGGAGGAGCAAGAAAGTCAGCCTGGGCGTGACGGAAGGCTTCCTGGAGGAGGTGGTTTTTGAGTTCTGCCTTGTAGATGGACTAGACGTGAGATGCGTGAATGGAGCGGCTGCCAGTGCCTCACGGGACAGAACAGCCAGGACGTGGGAGCCCGGGGAGCCTGGAGGGCATCGGCCCGGCCAGCACGCAGGGTTCGAGCAAGGCCTCGGCAGGAGCTGACGTGGGGCAGGGTGTCCCAGACCACAGACGCCACGAGACTCGGGGGAGTGACCCGTGTCACGACAAAGACGTGAACCAGCTGACTTGCGGTACAGACAGTGGGCAAAGGTCAGACTGCAGATGGGCAAAGTTAGGAGATGATCACAATATCCCAAGCTCCAGGTAAGGTCCACCTCCTCCAAGAAGCCTTCCGGGAGTGCTCAGGCTGGCCTGTCCCTTTCCGGAACAGCGATTGCGTCCATCAGCAGCAGCTGTACCAGAGGCAACGGGGATTTAAATGATGCCACCTGTGTCCTTACAAACGCTAGCCTGGGAAGCGGGCAGGAGAGGGGTCATCATCCCTGTTTTACAGATGAGGAAACCAAGTGAAGTCACCCAGAGCACAGAAGAGGCGGCGATGGCCCTAAGCCGGACGGTGTGTTATCACAGCCACAGCAAAGCGCCTCCCGGCTCACGGGCGACTAATGCGTTTCCTTAGTATCCAATCTGTTGAGTGTGTGTGTGTGTGTGTGTGTGTGCGCATAATGTGCTGGCCTGGGCACAGCCCAGGCTCAGTGCCTGCCCTCAGGGGATGCAAGGTCCCGAAGATGCGGTCCTTGAGGGAGTCTGTACTCTGGCTTCTCCGAGCCCAGGGAATGAAGTGACATCACATTCATTCTGTCCACAGGCCCTCTCCCGGTACCCAGCAAGGTGCAAGGTGAAAACCAGGCATTTGATGCTTCTCTGTGCCATGCACCTGGCTGTCGGGGAGCGAGGGAAGTCCGGGCTGTGTGCAGACACCCTGGAAGGGAGGGGAGCCAGGCAGGGCCTTTGGGGGGACCGGCTGCTGGGCCAGGGAGCCACCGACCCACCGGCAGGGCCCCAGCCCGGGCCGACTTGGCGGCCAAGCTCAGCCTAAGCAGCACTCTCCCGCAAAGTGCTCTGCGGGGAGGTGTAATGTGTCTCTATTTAAAATTAATTTTTTTTCAGAATTGGAAACCCTGCTCTGAAAGGCAGTTCTCCCCCGGTGGCTGCTGGCAGGATTGGAAAGCCGTAACTTTGGAGAGAAACACAATAAACCAGAAATTTCCTCCCAGGTGAGCGAGAAACTGCCTGTCTCCTTCTGAAGAGAGCATTTTCCAGAACTTTGCTCATCAAGTAGCTGGGCTTCAAGTCGCTTCTTCTGTTTGTGGGTGAACCACATTCCAGCGGACGGCTGTTCTCTGTGACGGATGGGACCCAGGCGTTGCAATCCACATGCGGGGAGAACACAAAAGTAATTTCTCTTTGGCTCAGGGCTATGTTTCTGTATTTACATGTGAATGGAGTGGCGACTTGGAAGGACTTGCTGGGTTCAGCGAATGCGCACCACTGAGCGGCTGGGTGCTGGGTTCCGGAGACTCATTCATTCACTCAGCCAGTACTTATGGAGTGCCTACTATGTGCTGACGATGGCAGCGGGCGTTAGAGAAACAGCAGGGATAGACGCAGACAGAACGACCCTACCTTTATGAGAGGAAAACAGGCAACGTTATGCATAAATACAGTACACAGCACATTAGGTGATGATAAGTCCTACAGAGACAGATGAAGCAGAAAGGGGAGGGGCGATGCTAGGGAGGGGGTGGGTTTGCCAGGGAAAGATCCGCCCAGGAGGTGACATTTAATAAAGGCCGGAAGGAGGGGAGGGAGCTGGACATACAGAGACCCAGGGACCGCTTGGGTCCAGCAGGTGCAGAGGCTACGAGCGGGGAACATGTCCAACGTGTTTGAGGAACAGCAAGGAGGAGAGTGTAGGGCGCAGAGGTCAGGCCCCTGGGGCCTGAGGGATCATCGCAAAGGCTCAGCGCTTTTAATATCAACACGCTGTGTCGCCAGTGGAGGGTTCTGAGCTGGGGAATGATAATGCTACGGCCTGACAGGTTTGCACAGGAACATTTGGCTGCTGTGGGAAGCAGGCAGAGCAGGGGGTGTGCAGGGAGGGCCGGACTCTGGTCTCGTTTTGAAGGTGGACGGCCGCGATTCATTGTCGGGTTAGGTGCGAGGGGCGACAGAGACAGCAGGGTGACCCCGAGGGTCAGGCCCCACTGAAGGTTGAGGGGCTGTGGTTGACCGCGAGGCAGGAAGGGAGGCAGAGGGAGCTGGCCTGGGCGGGCCGGGGTGGGGGCACCGGGGAAGGTCACGAGCTTGGGCTCGGACACGCCAAGCGTGAGGCGTGTGCTGAACACCGAGCGGAGAGCCCGTAAGGACTCGGATGATGGAATCTGGAATTCAGGAGAGAGTATTCCGAGCAGGAGGCGTAACTTCGGGAGTCATTAGCATATAGATGGTATTTAAAGCCAGGAGACTGGATGAGGTCACCTAAGACGTGTGTGAGTGTGGGTCAGAAAAGAGAGGAGATCCAAGGACCGGAGCTGGGGACACTGCACGGTTTGGAGGGCAAGGAGCCAGCAGAGGAGGCTCTGAAGGACAGTTGAGAGAAGCCCGGGGTGCGCGGGCGGGGGTACGGTGTCCTGGGAGCTGAGGGAGAGGGTCCAGGGAGGAAAGGTGATCTGAGGCTTTGCGCAGGGGTGACGGTGACCTTGACGGGAGGCTTCTTGGTGGAGTGACGGGGACACCCCTGGAGCAGGCTGAGGGGCCCGAGACCCCGCACGGGGACCGCCCTTAAAAGCAGCGGGTCCGGAAGCCGTGCTGTGGGGAGAGGAGAAGCGAGGGGCAGCCGGACGGGAAGCGCCCAACCTCTCTCTTAAAGGTTGGACGGAAAAGACGGATGCGGCCCCGTCTGTCCCCAAGCTGCTGTAAGTCCAGGAGGGGAGACAGACCCCCAAGCAGAGGTCGTGACACAGAGACCTTCGTGGGTCCCGTGGATACACGCTGGAGGGAAACAGAAACACTCTAACCTGACTCGGGTCAGAGTCCTAAACCAGGTCTTGAAAGATAAATGGCTTTTATCTGGGGAAAGAAAGGAGGGAATGGTGTGTGTGTGTGTATTTTTTTTTAGTTTATTTATTTTGAGAGAGAGAGAGGGAGAGAGAGAGAGAGCCCGATGCGGGGCTCCATCTTACAAACCGCGAGGTTATGACCTGAGCTGAAACCAAGAATCAGACGCTTAACCGACTGAGCCCCCCAGCAACCCCCCTGCCCCCCGGGGATGGCATTTCAGGTAGAAGGAAGGACACACGTCACACCATGGAAACCTGCAACAGCTTCCTGTGTGTGGGAACCCCCTCCCCCCACCCGCCGGAGCTCAGCATTCCGGCTCCAGAACTGCACCTCCGGGGCGTGACCGCCACACTCTGTAAGACGCGTGACCTTGGGCAGGGCCGACCGCGCTCCCCAAACCCGCTTCCTCCGCCATAAGGGGGGGCGGGGTCACGTCTGCGTCACAGGCTTGTCGTGAGGCTGGGACGAAGCCGAGCGCGCAGCTGCCCGCAGGTGTGCGGCACGTAGTAGGTGCTCAGTGCACGCCAGCTGCTCTAACTCGGGGCGCAGGCGGCACGGCACACCAGACGTCCACCAGACGTAGGGGGACACGACTGCGTTGGGGCACCGGAGCCAGCAAAAGGATGGGGAGCACCACCACCTGGCTCTGGCGTCTCGTGAGGTGCGCTGTGGCCTGGAAGCGTGGAGTCCTGGCCGCAGGGGTCAGAAGGCCTCACTGTGCTGGCTCAGCCCCATCCGTCAGCCTGTTCCTTCCTCGAGCCCCGTTCCGTCCGCCCGGGAGGTTCGGCTCGCAACCCACCTCGAAGGGTCGCGGCGAGGGGGACGCTGAGTAACAGAAGGTCAGCCTCCGACCCACTCGAGACGAGACGCGGCAAACGTGACTTCGATGGGAACAGGCGCTTCGGTGCAGTCGAACGGCAAAGCCCTGTCGGCAGGCCCGCACCTGCACGGCCTCACTCTCTCCTGGCCCGTTCTCGGGCCTCCGGAGCTGCCCGCTTCCCCTCGCGCGGCAGTCAGGGCCCGGTCGCCCCTGACGTGTCTGCCGTCCCCTAGGCCGGGGCCACGTCCCCGAGGCTGGAAAGCGGACCGAGAAAGCTTCCGCTGTCACGCCTTTCCTTTAGCCGCGGCTTGTGGGCAGATGGCTCTCGTTCCTCCTCTGGCCCCGGACCCGGGAACACCGTTTGCTTTACATTTTCATCTCGCGACACCTGTCTTCTCTGCCGCACCGGTTTCCGGGAGGCGCGGCGGCCCGGTAGCTGCCCGCGGCCCAGCCCGCCGCTCCGAGCGGGGCCTGGTGTGCAATGAGCCGGTTCGGGAGACCCGGCAGGAGCTTCACAAGTTTCAGACATAAGGCCTGGCTCAGGCGGAGCAGGGCCGGGACCCGTGGCCCCAGCCTTGTACCCTTGATACTCAAGACAGCAAGCCACTCGCGAACATGATGGCCCCCGGGAAAGTGGGCGAGGAGGCAGCGAGCCTTGGTGGTCAGCGGCGGGTCGGGGCCGTCCCCTGGGCGGTGGGTTTGGGCCGCTACAGCCACTTGAAACACTCCTCGGAGGCAAGCCGGCTGACATAATCTTCTCGCCCTGGCTCCCTGGGCTCACCCTTTGTGCAGACAGGGGAGCCCGGAAACAGGTGCGCGTGGCTGCTGGGAAGGCGGGCGAAGCCCAGGCCGCGTCCGATGCTTCTCCTCTTCTTCCAGGGCCACGGCTTGGCGGAGGCCTGAGCCACGCAGGACGGGGCCCGAGATGGCCCAGGTTGCTCACGGCTGCGGCGATGGCCTGGGCCTGAAGGGGAAGTCGAGGCATCGTCCGGCCCCAGCGCTCGGTCTGTAAGGTGGTAACGTCGCTCTGGTTTTGCAGGGAGTTTAACACCCGAGGCCCGGACCGGACGGGTGAGCGGACAACGTGGACACTTAGTGTGTGTGCAGAGGACAGAGGAGGAGGGGAGCTGCTTGTCACTGCCTGCTCCTGGCCGGAGGCGGTGCTGGGATTGGCGGTGGGCGGGCGCTGGGAGGGCCACCAGGGCAGGGTCACCGGGCAGGTCCCTGTGTACCTGTGCCTGTGCACGCGTGTGTGGCTGTGACCCAGTCCTCAGTATCCAGCATCCAATGTCCCCTTCTACTAGCACGAGTGATGCCGGAAGCTCACCCAGCCGCCAAGGACTCTCGCCCCGCGCCAGGCACCGTGCTAAGCATATGACACGGTGACTCACTTCATCCTCCAAAAACAGTAGTTGTTATGATCACCCCCATCCTACAGCCGAGGAAACGGACAGACAGACAAGTGCAGGGGCCTTGTCTCTCTCTACCCCCTGCGGGTTGTCTCCGCTGAGCTGCAGCACCCCTGCGGGACCTGCTCCGGCCGATGACGTGGGAGGGCCAGCGGCACCCCGGCCGGGGGCTCTGGGAGCCAGGGTGCGCTCGGTGACCGACTGCTGGTGTCCAGCATTGCTGTGCCATCAGCCTGCACCCCGGGGGAAGGACCAGCCCCCCGCGGTCTGCCTTTGTGGGGCCGTTATCAGAACACAGCTCAGCCTGTCTGGACGGAGTGGGATCCAGGCCCCTCCAGCACGGTGAGGACTCAGAAGACCCCACGCCTGGACGTCTTCCCCAGTGTCTTCGCTGACTCCTTGTCCCCCCTCCCCCGCCCCCCGCCCCGTACTCCAGACAGACACGGGTCACATCGTGCGCCCATGCTCGTCCCTGTCATCAGACTGAGCTCCCAGGGGCGCACTTCTGGTCTCTGGCTTCCCAGCATTTAGCGCAGAGCCTGGGGGCACAGGAGGTGCTAAGAGCATGTTCACGGAGTGAATATCTGTAGGAAAGGATCCTGGGCACCGCAGTTACCCCGAGGGACAAAGCCCCAGGTGTCCAAGAAGGCCAGTCCACCTCTGACCCCACGTTCTTGGCAGGTGACACGGGAAGGTAAGCTATTCCGGGAACCTGGCACCCGGGGAGTCTACCCGGCTGGCTAGCAGGATTTGTCCCATCGTCTCCAGGCCGTCGCAGTAAATCAGCAGGTGCGAGGAATTTACCCCAGAGAGTGATCCGGCAATGGCATGAATGAGTAATTTACAAAGGCCATTACGGCGGCACAGAATTACTTATTTATGGGAACTTTTTGACAGATCTGCGGCTTAATCATTTATCCCTCCGAACATTTAGCCAGGGTCATTGGTAAATAATTCACTTATTACACACTCCAGAGTGGTTTATGGCACCGTGACTTATGATCTCACATGAGTGCGCAGCCGGGGAGCTAGGACGTGAAGGCCAGGAAAGGAGGGGGGTTTGAGAGTCCTCACACAGAGCCAGGCGGGGACACCGCGAGCAGGTGCCCAGGCCCCGGCGACAAGGGGCTTCTGCTCGGAGTCGGGTTGACGGTCCTACGGATGGATGTTCGCGCCTGGTCTCACCTTCGGGGGGACAGTGAAGAGAGGAAGTCGGTGTGCAGAGGCGGGCCGAAAAATGGTGGGACTCAGCTCCAGGCGGAGTGGAGACAAAGTGCAGCTTCCGGAGCTCTCCATCTGCCCCCCACCCGACACTGGAGACCCTCCCGGGACTGTCCCCAGTCCCTGCCTGGTCTTAAGACTCCGTCTGCTCTTCTTATGTCAGCATCACCACCGGGCCCCAACCAGGCTCACGGCATGCCTCTGCCCTCATCGCCCGCATAATACTCTTCTAACTGCTGCTTTGTGTTCAGTTTTCACCCAAAGCCCACCTCCTGCATGAAGCCCTCCCAGACTACCTGAGCCCTGTTTGCTCCCTTGAGAACGTACAAAGGGCCAGGCACACATCGAGTACCTTATGCGTGCTGTTGAGTGGCCTATTTCCCCAGCTAGAAGAGGTGTCTTCTGGGGGCCAGGACTCAGCCTAAGTGAACGTGGCCTCCACTGCAGCCAGCTCAGACCCTGCCCCCGAGGGAGTTCAAAAAGCGTGGGTGGTTGATGGCGATGGGAGTAACGAGGATGCCAGTGAAGACGGTGGAGATGATTCCTCCCACGTCTTACCACTGCTCCCCTTCTGACTCCACACCTCCCCCCGCCCCCAGAGACAGTGGAACCGCATGGCCGGATCTTTGAGGTTCTGGGGGCTTCTCACCGGGCCCCGTACGTGGATAGAGGAGCTCACGTGGGGATGGAGAGGGGCGTCTGGGCAGAGTCGCTGGAGAGGCAGCGAGTGGAGGTTCCGAGAGCAAGGGTCAAGCTAGCCGCTCTTACTGAAGACCCTTCCCCAGCCACATCGGCCCCACTCGGAACCTTCCAGAGAGACGCTGGGATTCCTAGCATGTTCTCCCCACCCCGTAGGTCCGCCTCCTGAGGCTGAGGCCGGCTAAAGCAGCTCTCCTACCTTGGTGTCAGTCCTGGTTCTTGCATAGTAGGCAACTATGGCGACAGCCGACAACAGAAGAACAGCGCTCCCCTCTCTCTGTATGGGAAGACAAAGAATCCATGCCCCCTGCCCGCCCACGGGAAGTCCTGCTCAGAGCCTAGCCTCAGGCACTCTTGCTGTGACGTTCCAGAAGGTGTGGGGTGTTGAGCAGGTCACCCGCCCCTCCAGCGGGGAAAGCCCGGGCCTGCCCAGGTGAGCTGGGAGGGGAGAGGGGACGAGCAGAGGCTCCCTGTCTGCCCTGAAACCCCTGTGGCCCTGGGGAACCCTGACCCGAAACGGGCCTCCAGTCCCTGCCCCGGGGAAC